AAAGCACAAATGTAAGAGAGTTAGAAATAAGCAAGTAAGATTGCAAGGAAGAGAGAGAGAGAGAGAGAGAGAGAGAGAGAGAGAGAGAGAGAGAGAGAGAGAGAGAGAAAGAAAGAAAGGGGGCCGGAGAGATGGCTCAGAGGTTAAGAGCACTGGTTGTTCTTCCATAACGGCCTGAGTTCAGTTCCCAGCACCCACATGGCAGCTCACAACTGTCTGTAAGTCCAGTTTCCGGGGATCCAAGACCCTCACACAGACATACATGCAGGAAAACACCAATGCACATTAAGTAAATAAAATGGTGAAAATAAAGAATACAAGTTGAACAAGCCACGGAGAGCAAGTTGGTAAGCAGCATTCTTCCCCGGTCTCTATCTCAGCTCCTGCTCTGACTTCCCTCGATGATGAACTATGATGTGGATATTTAAGTCAAATTGAAAAAAAAAAAAAAAGAAAGAAAAGAAAAGGTGGACAGTGCCTGAGGAGCAACATCTAAAATTGGACCTCTGGTCTCCACTCTGAGCACATGCATACATGAGCATGCGCACACATGAGCACATGCACCCTCTTGTGTGCTGGCATGCACACGTGCACTCTCTCTTGCACACACACAGAGGCGCGCATACACACACCAATAAATTAATAAAGTGGAATACCTCTGTGTTGAATAAAAATTCCAGAACAGCCAGAGCTTTTATACAGAGAAACCCTGTCTCACAAAAACCAATGGGAAAAAACTTGTAATTTTAATGTAAGTCATAGGGGGTGGTAGAAAAAAATCCCTAGAGCTTATTGTATCCTGGTTGTTTTTGTTTTGTTTTTCAACTTGACTGAAGCTAAAGTTACGAGAAGAGAAACCACAGTTGAGAACACGGCTCCATCAGAGTGCCCGTGAGCAAGTCTACGGGGTATTTTCCTGATTGATGATTGGCGTGGATGGACCCAGCCCGCTGTGGGCAGCGCCACCCCTGGGCAGATGGTCCTGGGTTGTATAAGAAGGCAGTGAGCAAGCCGTGAGGAGCAGGCCAGGAAGCCTCATTCCTCCATGGCCTCTGCTTCAGTCCCTGCCTTGAGCTCCTGCCCCGACTCCCCTCCGCGACGTGTGACCTGACAGCTGAACAATGAAATCAACGCTTTGGGTCCTGGTGTTTTCTCACAGCAGTAGAAACCCAATTAAGACAAAGTGAACTGAATCTCCAGGTAGAGGACTGTGCAGCCTTGGGGAAGCAGAGATATGCGAACGGAACTGCCCTGTCATCCAGCCCCTTCCCCTGTCCCCATGGTGTCCCTTTATCCTACCCCTCTTTGCCCAGCCATGCAGGCCCCTGCCTCTAGTATACTTGTGGATTCTAATCTCCCTGCCTAACTGTGGTCTAGCTTTGAAAGCCAATCTACCATTTTCTCAGGTACACTTTCCTTGCCATCTGCTCTACTCACGATCTAGTTGTGGACTTTGAACTTTCCCCTGGACCGTGGCTGTTGCTCCCATGCCAGCCTGCATTCTTTTGCTCCCATTAACCCTGCACACTGCTGCCAAGATCACCTCAGGGCACCTCTTTGGTGCTGTCCCTGCTAGTGAGCAGAGTCTAAACCAACCACTTCACCCTCCTCCAGACACGGCTGTGCCCTGCAATTTACTCTGTTCGTCACTGGCTGGGTGGACCCAAAGGGGCTGGAAGAGGGTGCTGGCAGCAGCAGCAGCAGCAGCAGCAGCAGCAGCAGCAGCAGCAGCAGCGTGTCTCCCTGTCTGGATGCAAGGCAGGAGGCTATCTATCTATCGTTCAGAGGGAAGATGGTTTGCTCTGCAAAAGCACTCCCTTGACGTTGTGCCCATTTTCCCTGTGTGGGGGCTTGGCATCTAGCCCAGTTGACAGACTGCTTACCTGGGGTACAGAAGCCCTCAATTCCACTCTCAGCACTGCATGAACACGGCGTGGTGGTGACTGGTTTCTGTAAACCACCCAGGAGGTGGAGGTTCAAGGCTGTCTCTGGATGCATAGCTAGTCTGGGGCCAGCCTGTGCTACCTGTGACCCTGTCTCAGAAATCAATGAAAGGAGTTCAAGAGTCAGAGACAGGAGCTGAGATTGGAGTAGGGGTATGGCTTCCTGAAAAAAGATATAGGCTTGGGGGCTCAGCAGTTAAGAGCACTGGCTGCTCTTCCAGAGGGACCCAGGTTCAATTCCTAGCACCCACATGGCAGCTCACAACTGTCTGTAACTCCAAGACATGACAGAGACATACATACAGGCAAAAAACAACAATGCACACAAAATAAAAATAAGTACAATTTTTTAAATACTTAAAAAAATACATATTCAGTATTAACATAGCTGACAGCCAGGCAAGCCATAGTCCCAACCATTTGGAAGGCTGAGACAAAAGGCTCCCTTGAGCCCAGGAGTTTGGAGAGTTGGTTTTGCAGTCAGTTGGCATTCACGGGGCAAGGCCATTCACTATTTCCTGACAAGGGAGGTGCTGTTGGACTACCTACTTGTCAGTGCCATGGAAAGAGTAGGGACTGACCGACCATAAGTCAGCTGCTTCCTCTGGTGGTTGTGAATATGAGCTAATGAGATGGCAGATGATGGGGATATTGAACACTCAGTGAGAGTGAGCATCAGTCTTCTGGATGGGAAGTGGGGAAACTGAGGTCCTCCTACTGTGACTTGGGGGAGGGGTGCCTCTCTCATTGTCCCTAAGAGGTCAGGTCCCTGGTCTCAGCATCCCATCCATAACTCTCTCTCTCTCTTGCCTTATTTTTCTTCAGGCTTTGAACCAGTATGGCTGAACCTCGACAGGAGTTTGACACCATGGAAGATCATGCAGGGGGCTACACTCTGCTCCAAGACCAAGACGGAGACATGGACCATGGCTTAAAAGGTCAGTGGACAGCCATGCACAGCAGGCCAGCCACAGTGGGACACAGTCTGTGTCGGCTTCAGCAAGGGCTGGCAAGAAGGGTTTAAACCATAGTTTTTATTTATTTATTTTTAAGAAACATCACTGCAATTCAACACAGTAGGGGTCTCCTCATTACCATCAAACTGTAGTTTTTAAAGGAGGGATTCATACTACGTAGTATTAGATCATTAGGAAAGGGACCTCTCAATTTGAGTGGGCTAAGAAAAGTCAAAATGTGAACGTGTTTGAAAATTCACTTCTGCAGATAAGGTATTTGGAGGAGAGGTTGTCCTTCTCGGCTCTAAAGGAGCCTCTTCAAGTCCTTAGCTACACAAACCGCCCATCTGGACTCTATCGGGCGAGAACAGGTTACTCTGGGATTCTGAGTCTATCCACACTAATGAACTGCACCAGGAGTGGAACGTGATGGCGCTGGTCTGTAATTCCAGTACTCAAAAGGCAGAGGCAGGAGGATTGCTGCAAGGCCAAAGCCAACCTGTTTTATGTAGTGAGTTCCAGTTCAGCCAGGACTACATGGAGAGATCCTGTCTCCGACTGTCTCAGAGGGATGGCTCAAAGGTCCAGAGCACCTGCTGCTCTTCCATGGGACCTGAGTTGGGGTCCCAGCACCCACATCCATCAGCCCACAGAATCTGTGGTCTCCAGCTTTGGAGAACCGACACCCTGTACCTATATGGCATTCACAGATTCACACACATATGCATAAATAAAAATAATAGAAGTAAATTTTTAAAGCACTTCTCAAATTTAGTTTCATTAATTAAAACTGCAGTCTGTAATGTAGTCTTCTGGCCACATTGACTTGGCCCGACCTCTCCTCCTCCAAACTCACTGGGGGGGGCGGGGTGCTTAGACACACACACACACACACACACACACACACACACACACACACACACACACACACACGTTCTATGCTAACACTCTCCACACCGCCTTGCAAGACAAAAATCATCTATATTAATACAAAGTTCATCTATATTAATACACCACACACATTCACACACACACACACACACACACACACACACACACACACAAAGTTGCTACCCCTTGGAAGGTGCTGTGAAACAAGTGTGTTGCCCTACCCATAGCTCCCCCCAAAAGCCAAAGAAACCTAAGAGATTTTCATGAAATTAAATCTTGCCTCTGGGGGTTTAGAATGAGCTGTTTGTAGGTGTGCAGACAGCTCTGACTCAGCAGAAAGTATCACAGTGCTAACAACAGTTCAGATAGTGACAAAAGACTGTTTTGAATAATGGCAGGGGCCCACACGCTGAATACCGGAACAGAGAGGGTGTCTAAGTGGATGCTAAACGTTGGAATAGGACTAGATCCAGCCAGAGAGGCTGTGGAGTGAGGGAGGTGGTCCCACACACTCATGAATTAAAAGGTGCTGATGTTTACACTTCCCAAGTCTTTGAATGGGGGCTTCTTCTCCCTCTTCCCTCCCTCTGAGGATAATGTAAATGATGAGGATGGGCGTACAAAGTGACTCTGAGCCCAGCCTAGGATCTGTGAGACACTGTGATAAAGAAAATATAAAACAGGTCCTTCTTTGGCTGTGCTTGGAGTGAGCCTGTGAAGCATTTCATCCCTCACTGTATTTGAACTCCATCTGTCTTTCTTTGTGTTCTGCTTTGCACATAGAACCAGCCACCCCCTCCCCATCACCCTAGGACCCCAGAATATCACTGTTGCCCCAAGGGACAGCATCTGTCTCCAGTGAATGTCCCAGGAGCCCTGCAGCCTAGCAAGTGCCATCCATGCTCAGTGCTCCCCACCCACTGGTTCGCCATAGCCCTGGTCAGACTTCATATAATGTCCTGTAGCTCCCTGGGGACCCCGCACTGTCTCACTTAGTCTAGACCTCCTTGACACAAACCTCAGGTTTACCTCCAGCAGTTTTGTGACCTGAACACGCTCCCTCTTTGTCCAGTTGTCCATCATCAAGGACAGAGAGGGTCTTTCTCCACATTGCCCCAACTGTCCTGGTACTCACTATGTAGCCCTTGTTGGCCTCACACTCACAGAGATCCCCCTGCCTCTGCCTCCCGATTGCTGGGATTAAAAGTGTGTGCACCACCGCACCCAGCCCAAGGGCCATTTCTCAAGCATGGCCCTTAAGGCCCTCGCCCGTGTGCATACAGCCGGCTCGCCGAGAGTGGGTCTCAGTCTTCATGTGGTTGAGAAAACCAGCCCTCGTGAGTGTATGGCCTCCATCTTCAAGCTCTCTCGTGTATCAGGAAGATATGTGCCTAGCTAAGCACAGCGCTGCCCTGAATTCTGTTTTCAAGGACAGCAGATTGAATGGGCTCCAGGTGGGACCCCTCTTTGCCGGAGAGTGGGTGCTCAGACTGCACCTGATGGGGGTGTTAATCTCTTGTGGAGCATGAGGTGATACTGAACGTTCCCCCATGGCCAGAGTCCATTTGTCCATCTGATACAGAGGACAGCTGGCTCTTGGAGCCTCTGGAGAGTCCCAGTCAACATCTGCACCATAACAAAAAAGGAAGAAAAAAAAAAGAACCTTCCTATTGATACACAGGGCTGTCCTGAGCCCTTCATACCAAGGCGAAGACAGAGCGGCAGAATGGCCGTCGCCTATGAAGGGTCTCACACGCCCTTTAAGCACAGCCCCGGTTACAAAAGCCTAGGAGAGGTAGCAGAGAAAACCCTTCAGCCAATGCAGGCATGGAAACGGGAACTTCTCCTGCACGGAGGTGGGTGAGTTTTCTGAGCTGAGCGCTGAGGCGCTGTGACCCAAAGCCTGAGATGCCACAGGGGAGGGCTTTCTGAGCCTGCAGGAGCATGCTTTCTAGATCAGCTGCCAGGTTGTCCTCAGTTGGACCTGGGTGATTAAAGGCTTTGTCTTCTCCCACCCAGGAGCAGACACACATCACCCACATCTTCCTCCAGGGACCGCAGGAGTGGAGTATGGTTGTGTCGGGGAGGGGGGCATGGGGGGGCGGAGAGGAGGCTGGTCCCTTCATGGTTCGATCATAAAGCTACAGTATCCACACTGAAGGTTCCTCTTGAGGTCTGAGGGCTCACTGTATATGTTCCAGAGTCTCCCCCACAGCCCCCCGCCCATGATGGATCGGAGGAACCAGGGTCGGAGACCTCTGATGCTAAGAGCACCCCAACTGCTGAAGGTGGGGCCTCCCTACTCCCCCCACGCCCTTCAGCCTGGTCCTTACCTCGCTTTGAGCTACCCCTCCCGGCTGCATCCGCTGCTTCCTGTCCTGCTGGCTGAGATACGCTTACGCAGTGCTTTGCAGGGCAGTGCTTTGGGAGCCGGGCCCTGCTTCTGTGCCTGGCTCAGCAGTGTGCACTTTGGGCATCATCGTGTGTGCGTGTGTGTGTGTGTGTGTGTGTGTGTGTGTGTGTGTGTGTGTGTGTATGTTCCATGCTTGGAGAAGCTGGGCTGCGCGGCACAGTGGGGCTCACGCACAGCTCAGGAGGGTTCCCATCCTGTACCCACTACCTTCCATGACCCCCTCATTTCTTTCAGGGATCAACCAGGGCCCAGAATGCTCAGTTGGCTGAGGAGGGAGGCAGGTCAGACATCTCCCTGCTCATGTGTTAGGAATGGTTTTGGTGTGGCGTCTTCATTTCTTGGGTTCTGGACTTTGGGCGTGGAGTTTGTTTTCTCTCTTCTAATCCATCCACTCCAGATATTTGGTGTCTGGTCCTTTGGTTGTCGTGAAGCTGCTTGTCTTTTTCCTGAAATGCTCCTTGGTCTCTCTTGCTTCCCATGTGGGTCAGTCAAGACTATACCACATTTCACCTGGCAGTGGTGGCACATGCCTTTAATCCCAGCACTTGGGAAGCAGAGCCAGGCGGATCTCTGTGAGTTCGAGGTCAACCTGGTCTACAGAGTGAGTTCCAGGACAGCCAGGGCTACACAGAGAAACAGAGAAACCCTGTCTCGGAGGTGGGTGGGGGTGGGGGTGGGAGAAAAGACTACCATATTTGGCTGCAGAAAGCGGAAAGACCTCCTAACTGAAGAGGCTTATTTGCCTGCCTCGCATCATAAGACGTCTGCATATGCGTACAGGCCCCCCCCCCACGGTCATTTATGTGCCCCTTACTCATCTTTGGCCATCCTAAGTGGTTGGACTGTCGCTTCATAGTTGAAAGATGGCTACTGCTCCCAAACACTGTGTCTGCCTTGGAACCAGGAGCTATGGCTGGAGAGATGGCTCAGAGGCTAAGAGGTGCTTACCACACAAGCCCGGTGACCAGTGTCCAATCCCCAGAACCTGTGGAAAGAAGAAAACAGATGGGGGCTGGAGAGATGGCTCAGTGGTCAAGAGCACTGACTGCTCTTCCAGAGGACCCAGGTTCAATCCCCAGCACCCACATGGCAGCTCACAACTGTCTATAGCTCCAAGATCTGACACCCTCACACAGGCAAGATACCAATGTACATAAAATAAGAATAAATAAGTTATTTTAAAAAGAAAGAAAACAGACTCCACAAAGCTGTCCTTGAAACTCCGTGTTATCATGGCCTGTGCCCACATAGACACATTATGCACATGTTCCATAGTAATAAATGAAAGCTGGGTGGTAGTGGCACACACCTTCAATCCCAGCACTTGAGGCAGAGGCAGGTGGATCTCTGAGTTTGGGACCAGCCTGGTCTATAGAGTGAGTTCTGGGATAGCCAATGCTACACAGAGAAACCCTGTTGAAAGGAAGAGAGAGAGAGAGAGAGAGAGAGAGAGAGAGAGAGAGAGAGAGAGAGAGAAAAGAAGAAGAAGAAGAAGAAGAAGAAGAAGAAGAAGAAGAAGAAGAAGAAGAAGAAGAAGAGAGAAAGAAAGAAAGAAAGAAAGAAAGAAAGAAAGAAAGAAAGAAAGAAAGAAAGAAAGAAAGAAAGAAAGAAAGAAAAGAAATCTTAAAAAAGAAAAGAACCAGTGCAAAACAAAGTAGCCAAAAAGACCCCCAAAGCGCCAGATATGTTGCAGAATTAAGAAAACGAGAACTTTCTTTAAGTCCAACCTGGCAGTTTCCACTTTCATTCATTGGCCAGAACTGGGTCTCTGGCCAGCAAGGCTGGGATGTTGGGCATCTTTTTTTTTCAACCTATTGAGTAGAAGAAATGAAGGAAAAAGGACATTGAGAATGACTTTTAACTAACTGTCCATAACACTGTCCCTCCGTCTCTCTAACCGCCTGAGGAGGTCGGAACGTCCACTCTGAGCCCTTCCTGCAGCCCGGCCCATTGTTCGGAAGTTCTGTTACAGAATGAGAATTTGGCCTCCGCATCTCCCCCAGCATCTGCCTTTGGATAAATTCAGAACATGGCTGTCAAGCTCCTGCCATTGGCTTGGTATGCTGGCTCATCCCTGGAGGATGCAGGTGGCATGGCCCTTAGCCTGGTGAGAACATCCTGGCCAGATTCCCTTTGCCCTCCTGAAAACCAGTGATGCAAGACATTTCCTGCTCATCCTGTTCGGACAGTTCTGCAAGCTGTCTGCCACCCTGAGGAAGGCTAGAAACTCGATGCTAAACCCGGTGCCGGCTTCCCAAACACGGCTTTCAGTACTGTCAGCACTGTCCTGGAAGAAACTCCCCCTCATGCAGTCTGGACCTGTACATGCGTGGGTCCCACATGCCTCACTCTCGCCCTCGGGGAGGGAGGTAGCCTGGGCTGCGCTTTGCTAGCAGTTTTATCGGCACCAGAGAGGATCGTAGTGAAAATGGCCTTTGTGGACTAAGCTGTCTGGAATCCTGGGAATCTCTTAGAGCTGGCCACTCCTTAGGTGTGTGTGCCGGGCATGCACGGTGGAGAGGCAGAGTGCTCCAGAGGACTTCTGAGCCGAAGTGTTTCCCTTGAAGAGATGCCGCCCCCAGCTCCTAGCCTGTGATCCCTATCTCTTGCCTCCGCTAGAAAGCTGGACTCTGGACAGAACCTGGCCTGGTTGTTGCCACATATGGAACTCTGTGCCTTTTAATTGGGTGTTAGGAGGTTGGGGAGGCAGGGAGTTAAAACTGGTAGAAGTTTTTAAGGTCACCAAGAGATGGCACTCCTGTTCTGTAAATGCAGAAACAAAGGCTTAGAGGTGACAGAGTGCTTGCCCCAAGCCTCACAGGAAAATCACGGGCTCACTCTCACCCTCAGCTTCCTCACACTGCCTGGGTCCCAGCTGTGGGCACCCTGCATTGCCATAAAGATCACACAGCTGCCTTCAGGGTTTCATCAATTCTCTTTAGGGGACCCCCCCCCCCAATCATGCTATGTCCTTGTAGTGCTTACATGGCCCCTCTAGGCTTTCCAGGCAGGTGACTTGCTGCCTCACTTCTGATAACGTACTTCCTGGGGAAATGGGAGGAGAACTGTGGCCCTGCTTCGAGCTGGCTTTTCTTGCATGTGGCTGGCAGGCCCTGTCCCTGCACTGCCCCTGTGTAAACAGGAGGGTGACTATTGGTGGTTTCCAGACGTGACTGCGCCCCTAGTGGAAGAGAGAGCTTCCGACAAGCAGGCTGCTGCCCAGCCCCACATGGAGATCCCAGAAGGAACCACAGGTGAGGGTGACGCCCAGAGCCCCAGGGCCGCCAGAGCCCGGCAGACCTGCCTTGCACAGGTCATCCTCATAGCCAAGTGAAGCAGATATGTAAGTGACTCGGACTTCTGGGGATCTTGGCTAGTTAGCAGTGGCTGCCTTGGACTCTAGCTGCTTCCCACAAGGGTGTAGAGTCCTCAGATTCCTACTGGATCCTGCCTCAGTCAACATGTCAATTAGAAATGTTCTCAGCAAGATTCTCTGGGGAAAGAGAGGATAGACCTCTGCTGTCCTCACACTTTCTCCAGTTCCAGCTGTAGCAAGTAGCAGGGCGCCCTCAGGGAACAGTTTGCCTTTGGAGCGCCCAGCATGCCATTGTGACCACATAGCTGGATCTCTTTGAAGGTCTAATGGGCGGGTCCTGGAGTTCAGGAGTGTGACCACACGTCCTGCCTTCCAACCCTGTCTCTGTATCCTGTGCTACCCATGGGGATGATGGAGGCATTGGTCACCAGACAGCACACTGGCCTAAAACGGGCTGGGCTTGGGGCTGCTCAGTCACTCATAAGTCAGCCTGTGTCACATCCCAGAGCCCTGGATCGCCTTCCCCACATGTCCTCTTCCAGGGGCTCACAAAAAACTCCAGTGTGATAAACCTGAGGTGTCCACTTACTTACCAAGAACTGCCTAGTCACTGCTCATGGGACACTGTGGCAATGGAGATGGGAAATGTCCCTTCCTTTGCATGGGCTCTCTGCAACCATGCTAGCTAGTTACTCTTTTCCTCGTGGTGACGAATGTCCGGCAGAAGCAGCATAAGGTCTGTTCAGGCTCATGGTTTCAGGGGATGGAGTCCACGTGACAGGGAAGGCATGGTGGCGGAGGTGGCGGTGACTGGTCACGTTGCATCTGATGTCAGAAAGCAGAGAGAGTTGAATGCTGGTGCTCAGCTGGCTTTCTCCTTTTTCCCCAGGACGTCAGCCCAGGGGATGGCGCTGCCCGTATTCAGGGTAGGTCCTCCCTCCTGTGAATACCCTCAAAGGCACAGAGGTGTGTCTCCACACCCAGAGGTGGGTTCCAGCTCCATCAGGTTGACCACAAAGAATAAACATCATAGCAGTCTGTAGTGAGCTTTCCCTCACGCATTCACTGAGAACGCTCATTACGGAGCAAGCAGTGCCATCCCTGTCTTTCAAAATGTGTTTTGGCTTTGCAAAGTGATTGACTAGCAGCGAGATCTTCTGAGACAGGTGGACTAGATGTTCTGAAAACCTGGCCAGGCCTCAGCTTTGAGCCTGAAGGATGCTTGAAGGCCACAGAACACCTTACAGGGTGACGCCATGGCTGACTTGATTTTTGTCTCTGGCTATTCCTTCAAAGTTTTGTCATTGAAGAAATTTGTCTTCTGTCGGGGATGAAAACTATCCACATGCTTCATGGTCACAAAACAGCCTGCAAAAGCCTGGGATGTAGCTCAGTGCCTGGTTTAGCATACATGAACCCCAAGAACTTGATCCCCACTGTTATGCCCAGATCATGGGGACCCCCAAAGGACCACCACAGAGACCAAATCCTGTATGTAAAAGCAAAGAGCCTTTATTTCAAGCTCTGAGCTGTCTGTCTGTCCGATGCAGCGGTGAGAGCAGAGAGCCCAGGCAGGGTAGGGTTTTTATCATAGCAGAGGTTGGGGTGAGGGGTTTCCAGGGTTCAGGACCCTGATTGGCTAGGAGTATCTTGGTAAGAAGGGGAAATAGGTGTGTGCTAGGTTCAAGAACATCTGGCTATCTTATTTAATGGTTGCAGTGTTTGGGATGTCAGGTACTTCCCCATCCTTGGGTGGATCCCTGGGTGGTGTCAGCTTATGGCTTTTCCTGGATCTGGGTGTTGCCTGCCAGTAAGCCTGTCACAGAAGCTGTGTCTGGGCCTCGAGGCCTGTCATGGCAGCTGTGTGGTCAAGCTGTTTTGGGTCCCTCCACACTCACCATGTTATTAATTAAGTGTGATGAGGAGAAAAAAAACACAGCTTATAAATGCTTATCAAAAGGGCCAATCTGATGTGATGGTCAGGCCCACAACCTTGTTCTAAACCAGCCCCTACTCTGGGATGGTGAGAGCAAGCATGTAGGAGGAGGCAGTGGCTGCTTCCCACTCCCTGCAGGAGCTTAGAGGCTACCGTTTCTCTCATGGAGACTGTATTAGCTTCTCATAAGTGTCCACATACCTGGCAGAAACAACTCCAGGAGGAAAGCCTTATTTAGTTCATGGGCCCAGAGGGCTCACAGATGTTTAATTCCGTGGCCTTGAGCAGGGCATTATGGTAGCATGTGTGGTGGAGGAAGCTCTTCCCCTCTTGGTGGACAGGGAGCAGAGGAATGTAGCGTTGGGCATGCTTTCTCCTTCATCAGCTTTTGTTCGTCACTGCCCCAGCCCCAGTTCATGGGATGGTGCCACCCACGTTCAAAGTAGGTCTTCACTTCAGTGAATCCCATCTATAAATACCCTCAGACATAGCCACATGTGTGCCTCAGCAGTTCCCCAGGTGGTTCCAAATCTAGGCAAGCTGACTCTGAAGATTAACGGCCACAGAGACTTTTCTTGAATCTGTCCAGATTCTTTCCTCTCAATTCCTATGTCCTGCTTCCATAAAGATTGACGACTCTGCCTCGGACTCTGAGGGATATGTCATCCCTCCTCTCAGGGATCTAGCTGCAGCATCAGCTCTGTGGAGGATGACTCGTTCCCACTAGTGACCCCTTAGGCGTGATCTAAGATGCCGCCTCTGGCCTGTGCCCACAGTTCCATGGGGGAAAAACAGTCATCCATCTTGGCTGCACTGCCGCTCACAGACTATCACAATGCTCCTTTGCTCAGCCACCGTAGCTGGGCCAGCCCTCCCCTTTCCTACTGTGATCCTGGGCAGGGCCCTGACTGCAGTCCACCAGCTCACAAGCCAGAGGGAGCAGGAGCCAAGTGTCTGTCTGTAGGTGATGCCTTGAAGACCAGGGAGACAAGCCAGGCATGCCAGCACTTGACTGTTATCCTAGCACTTGGGAGACAAGGTGAGAGGATCAGGAGTTCGAGACCTGCCTGGGGTACATAGTGAGTGCAATGATAAGCTACATAGCAAGACCCAATGGAACCACCGCAGCCCCAGGGTGGGCCAGTCGCGTCCTGCTGGGTTTAGAGTTGAGCAGGTTTCCAGCTATTGGTGAAACTGGTACCTCATGTTGCCCTCACTTGAACACTCGTCTGCTGCTTCTTGGTGCTCAGTGAAGCTGCCCAAGGATGCTGTGTGACTTGCTACTGTGGGAGGCCTATCTCCCTGGAGAGCAGGGGACCTGTACCTCCCTGAAAATGCTCCCCCACCCCACCCCACCCCCGGGAACATTCAAAGTCGTTAGTGGTACACCACTTTGACTTCACACCCGGGGCAGGATGTCACAATCCGGCACTGCAGGGGAAGATGAATAGACTCTCCCTGTGCCAGGACAGTGATGGAGTCCCGGAATGCCTCCTTATGTCTGCTAAGGACTCCACGACTGCTTAGCTGGATTTGCTGTGGCTCTGAGCCTGCCTTCCATTCCCGTAATCTTGCTCAGACCAAATCCGCACTTGGACTTTGCCTTCCCAGACAGTTGACACAATATGTGACCATTGTTGTGTTATCTGACAAGGGACTGTCACCAAAACTCTTCCTGGGTGTCACAGAGGACCGAGATGGGTCTGAGCTGATAACTGGTGGGTGGAGAGCTTCCAAGTTCACCGCCGCCTCACTGTGGCCCCACCCACACTCAGCCATCTGGCTAGGTGCTTACCAGGACACCACGTGACTGTGCGGTGACCCAGGCTCAACTGGCTTGCAGTTTTAGGTGCAAAGGCCGAGCACCTCAGTCCAGAGACAAGGCTGACGGCCCAGCTGGCACTGTGTGAGCATTTCTCGAAGGCAGCAACCTCTGGTGTGCCTCAAGGCCTTGAGGTCAGCATGGGCCAGCTTGCTTTATAAACCCTACCGCTAGACTTGTGTGTCTAGACTTGTGTGTGTCCCATAGCTGTGTCCTGGTTTCTGTGTTCCCCCTATAAGTGTTTACCAACTGGAGTACTGCTCCTGTGGTCTGGAACTTTCTCAGCCTTCTTCATTTGGGGTGACTGTCAGCTCCTTAAGTAGAACACAGAGACCCCAAAAAGCTGCGCACAGGCCCTGTTGGCCTTGCTCCAGCCAGGTAATGCTGGTTTCAGGCGGCGTGATGTGTGAGGGGTTTAGAGGGAAGACCTCCTGTGTGTTAGACTCTCTTCTCCATACCTTCACTATCCTCCTACAAGACAAACCCAAATCCTATCCTTGAGATTCCCGATGAGGAAACAGGCTCAGAGAGGCCGGGCAAGTGGCGGCTCCTGGGTCCACACCCCAGCTACCTCACCCCAGCAATCTCTCCCTGAGCCCCTGTCCTCCCGAAGTGCTGGCCAGGGCAGCAGGCAGTGGTCTTGAGAGTCCTGGCATCTCTGTGGAGCCAGGCAAGACGCAGGACCTCAGACCCCTGTGGAGAAGCTCTTTCCTCCTAGGTCGCAGTCACCTGGAAGGTGTGTGGTAGCCGTGGGTTCTGTCTGGGCACATCTCGTCGCCACTGTCCCTAGCTGCGGCCTTTGCAGAGTGGAGCGCAGCAGCTGACCTTGCAGGGCACACCCCTCCTGCACGTTTCGTGTGAGAAGCGCCAGGTACAGAGAACATGGATCCCAGCAAGTAGTAACTGTCCGCTTCTGTCCTCTCCCTTTGCTGCCTTGGACCAGCTGAAGAAGCAGGCATTGGAGATACCCCGAACCTGGAGGACCAAGCCGCTGGGCATGTGACTCAAGGTCAGTAGTCCGAATCGCCTCTAGGACTCAGAGATCAGGAGGAGGGAGATGGGAGCACTCAGTGGGCTCTGCCTTGAAAAGACATCTTAGCCCTGGGTCCTAATTTGCAAGTCCAGGAGACCTGGGCTCTGTAGACACAGAGTTTTCTAATACCATTCTGATCCATTCCTGGGGGGTGGAGGGTGTGTGGGGGGGAGAGTCCTGAAGGAAACAGGCCTTGCCTGATGAGCACGGTGGGTGATGCTCCCACAGTGCCCTATGACCTGTCAGTCTTGTCACCGTGGAACTTGTCCATCCGAGCTTCCTTCTCCGTGGTCTTCACGCCTTATTCTAATTTTCTTCTCAGGAACCAAACTTCTGTGGTCAAGACAAGTACCTTTCTGCAGCTGTTTATCAAAAACACATTTTAAAAAAGAATTTTTAAAACCTTAGGGAGTCTTGATTTTAGGCAATGGAGACCTCTGGTGTAGCTAAAGCGTGAGTTAGCTTTGTTTTCAACCATTTTTCTGGATAGATGAACTTGAGTGTCCTGTATAACAGGGAGGCTCACAGACGACAGAGGAGCTGGGAGATGGTGTCCTTTCCTCTGTAAAATGATAGAGCATTTGTCCTCTGGGTAGCGGGGCTAGCTGCCTATGAAGGACTCTGCTGCCTGTGAAGGAAGGGCTCTGCCTCACTGACCTCTAGCCTAGTTCATCCCCCTTTAGGTGACTTGGACACTAGGCTCCTGAGGAGGAGTTGGGGAGAGATTTTGTTTGGTCCTGTTTACCTTGTGCCCCTCCCCCACTCCCAGTGAGGCTGCGTGTTGAAAGGTTTGGGTTCTTTGTTTGTTTGTTTGTTTGAGATGACTTCCCATGTAGCCCAAGCTGGCCTCCATTTGTATCCAAGGATGACCTTGAACTTTTGATCTTCCTGCTTCGGCCTCCTGAGTGCTAAGGTTGCAGGTATGTGCCTCCACACCCAGTATGTGCAGTGCCCGGGATCAAACGCAGGGCTTCTGTGTGCCAGGCAAGCATTCTGATAACTGAGCTGCATCCTGGCCCCTGTTTCATATTTACTGAGAAGTTTATAGTATCCTGGAGACGGAAGAGATCATTCTCCCAGGCCAGATCCTCCCTCTAGGAGTTTTGATTATGCTTAGGTTCCTCATCAGTTCACACACACAGCAACGTATGCTTACTGCGTGTGTTTACTGTGTGGGTCTGTTTGAGGCCTCGCCTCAACTTGAATGGAGTCTTTGAAAGGCCTGCAGTATATCAGACTGCAGGACACCCCAGTCAAAAATAATTTCTAGGGAGCATCTTCTTGAAGGTAGTAGAGGCCCAAGTCTGTGGGATGGCATCATGGCTGGTAGCTTCCGGGTCCTCTGATCCATGAGCCGGCTGGTACTGGGTAGCCGGACCCTGCTGGTTTCCTACTTCAATCCTTGAGCCAGATCAAGGGCCTCAATAAGGCATCTGATAAGGAGCAGAAATGGGTGCTTTGTCTAGATAGTAGCTATCCTATGTAGAATGCATGATTGATCAGCTGTCATGTGACAACCTTGACACTGGGACCATAAAGGAATGTCACTGTGAACTCAGTCTGGCAGAAGGAAGGAGAGAGCCGGGCTGGAGCTGGGTCCCTTGGTAGTGAGCCAGCCACATTGAGTCCCACTGGGTTAGACAGAGGTTTAGTAGACATATTACTGGTGTGTGTCCAGAGTTACACATACGTGTGGATACACATGTTCTCCGCCTCATCCCCTCCCCCACCCAGACTTCTCTTCTATGTCCCCAAAGCCTTTGAGAATATTATAGGTTTTGTTAGAGGAGAGCAACTGGGTAGTTGCTCGAGATATTGTGTTGGGACCAGGTAGGATGTTCAAAAACTTCAGTTACCCAAGTGTGGTGGCACATGTCTGTAATCCCAACACTTGGAGAGTAAAGATAGGAGAACCAGGGGTTCAAGGTCACCCTTGGTCACCTCCTGAGTTTGACACCAGCCTCAAGTGTAGGAGACTCTGTCCCAAACGGGTGATCTAACAGAACCAGAGGACTCAAGTGGACTCCCTCATCCCTCACGCACAGCCAGATGCTCTAAAGAGGGTTTTACACGAATATCACGTGACTGATCCATGGAAAAAACAACGTGCTTAGACCGGCTGAGCTGGTGGGCAGTGTGCTGGGTGAGCAGTTAGAGCAGGGGTCCCAATGCTCCTGCCTCACCTGGGGCAAAAGACAGGCCATGAAGGTTGACCACAGAGCTATACATGCCCTGCTGTTCCACACAGAGGCACCATACTGCGGTCAGTTAGCAAAGCTCCATGGCAACAGTCACAGCTTGTGAATTTTCCAAATCAGAGCAGGGCTAGAGAGGCCAGGTAACTTATGATGCCACTGGTTTCACCTGCCCAAAGGGGAGAGGGAGAGAGAGAGACAGAGACAGAGAGAGACAGAACACAGAGATCACTGTCATAACCCAGACAAGGCCACCGGGAGCCCAGAATCTTCTGGGAGCTTGGGTTCTGTAAATGGTAGCTGAGCATGCATCTGAGCCCATAATCACATGCTGGGTAACCACAGAGATGCCAGCAGGCTCTGGCCCAGCCGAATGCCAGAGGACCTCAGAGGTTACCAAGTCTAAGTCTCCCTTTTATGGACAAGAACACTGATGCCCAGAGAGGGTCGTGCAGCAAGCTAGTGGCAGACGGACCAAGGGAACATTTATTCCAAGCAATGAGCTGGGCCCAAGACAGGCTCCTGTCTCTGTTGGGAGAGTCCTGATACCTTTGAGGGGTCTTTTCTTATGGCAAGTACCGTGGTTCCCCTTAAACAATATCTGTTCCCTTGTTAACCATTTATCACCACTGCCTCTGCAAGCAGCAGAGAGAGATGCCTGAGAGGCTCCTGAGCAGGAAGCTTAGTGTTCAAGTCCAGCCCGGACTGAGCACAGAAGTTTCTGGGGTCTCACTGCCACCTCTAGGTGAAAAGCAGTCAGGTACTCCAGGCTTGGACGTCACTCACCGTCCCCAGAAGCACCCCACCTGCCCGGCCCCTCCTCCACCAGCTGGTCCTCAGGAGGCCACCCAGGAGTGGAGACCAGAGCCTGTCAAGGTGGGCCTGCCCATTCTGAAGCCCTCCTCTGCTGGATATCTCCACACAGAGCCAGAGAAGGTCCAGATTTTCCCAGAAAGTTTGCTTGGAGGGCCAGGGCGCCATGAAGGCCAGGCTCCAGACCCAGGGATCTCAGAGTGGATCTGCCAACCGGTGCCCAAGGTGTCTGGGGCTCCCTTCCTGCCACACGGCCTCAGAGAGGCTACATGCCAACCTTCGGGGACAAGACCTGAGGATGTAGAGAGAAGCCACCCGGCCTCTGAGCTGCTGCAGCAAGAGCCGCCTCAGAAGGAGGCATGGGGCAAAGACAGGCTGGGGAGTGAGGAGGAGGTGGATGAAGATCTTGACATGGATGAGTCATCCCAAGACTCCCCTCCCTCCCAGGCCCCCCTGGCCCCTGGCAGGGCAGCCCCTCAGGCCGTCTCCAAGGAAACAACTGGCATGCCTGGGTCCCCAGATGAGGGTATCATCCCACTTCCTGTTGACCTCCTCTCCAAAGTCTCCACAGAGACCCAGGCCTCACAGCCCGATGGGCCTGGCGCAGGGCCCATGGAGGAAGGGCCCGAGGCTGCCCCAGAGTTCACATTCCACGTGGAAATCAAAGCCAGCATGCCGAAGGAGCAGGATTTGGAAGGGGCTACGTTGGTAGGGGCCTCTGGAGAGGAGCCCCAGGCCCAGGGCCCCTCTGTGGGTAAGGGCATCAAAGATGCTAGCCTTCTGGAACCATCTGAGAAGCAGCCCACAGCTGGCCTGCCAGGAAGGCCAGTCAGTCGGGTTCCTCAACTTAAAGGTCTGTGGTTTAAAGCCCTCTCACTCCCCCCTGGCACCCTCCAGGCTGTGGACACTGTCACTGAGCTTCTGGCCTTCCTGACTCCCGCACCTGAGATTCCAGGAGGGGCACTAAAGCCACCGCCTGGGCCGCTGCCCCCTCCCAGCCCCTGCCCTGCAGCCTCTGGTAGCACGATTCCATTCACGCTTGCCCTCACTGTGCATGTCACCAACACCTGGCCCTGTGCTCCCTGCCCTGTCTGGCTCTCTGCCCACTTGACGTATCCACCCCGGCCCACCAGCCCACGGGCGGCTGGTGGACACACTACATAGAGTGGCTAACAGCGTCCCTCGTTTTTGGAGGCTTGTGATGCATTTTTACATTCACAATCGAGAACCTTCCCAGCGCTCTGAGGAGGCATCATGAGCCCCACTTTTCAGATGAGGAAACTGAGCCTCAGGGCGGTAAATTGACCTTCTGATAAGTACCCAGAGTAAATAATGGTTGGGGTCAAGTTCAGAATCCGGTTAGGTCTGCTCTGAGAGGCACCTTCTTGCCATGGTCCCCCACGTCGCCTTCCAGGGGATTCTGGAGTGTGTCTTCCTGGTGCAGAGCCGCTGAGTTCACCTGCCTGTCCTCTGATGCTTTCACCGACAGATGGCGTGTCACATTTGACAGGTGACAGCCACCCCTGTGAGGTGGCTAGCAGCCCCCAAACCTCTCTCCACGTCTGCTTGCAGCAGAATGATGAATAAAGCATACCTTTTAGGTCCAGAGTGACCCTCCTGTCAGTCAGGGACGGGCTGGTTCCCTGTGTGCAGCCCCATCTGGAACCCTTTGCTGCAGGGTGAGCAGCCTCTGGGTAGCGACATTCGTGGCTTTAAGATTTTTAGAATACTTGGCGTTTGGGCCTTCAGGATGGCTCAGTGGGTAAAGCTACTCGCTACCAAACCTAATGATCTAAGTTCCATCCCCAAGACCCACCCAGTGCAGACACGCTGCCACATGGATACAGAGATCCGAGGACAACTGTGGAGTCAGTTCTCTGTTTGTCCTTTGACCTCCATATGCATGGGGTGGCATGTACGTGGTACACACACACACACACACACACACACACACACACACACACACATTCATGTGCTCTTGTACAAGACCTAAACAAATGTCAGGATAGACTACTTGGCATGTTAGAATTATTTGCAGGGCCCAGAACCTGATGCCTCGTAAGCACAGAGTCAAAAGCATCTATTAGCTACGGATTAAATTCTGCTTATAGAGAACACTCCAATATCACAAGTAGTAGAGCCTGTCGGGATGGTGGCACAGACCTGCCATTCCAGCATATTCCAGCTAAGACAAAAGGGTCACTGCAAGTTTGAGGCCAATCTGGGATACATAGTGAGATACACAGTGAGTTCAAGGCTAGCCTGGGATACATAGCATGATCATTAAAAAAAAAAAAAAAAACTGGGCATGATGCCCTGTGCCAATGCCAAGAATGAGCGCTGTACTCAGGATGGAGAAAAATGGGGATCAGGAGTTCAAGACCTGACGCTTCTACATAAGACCCTGTCTTAAAACAAAAATTAGGCCGAGTAGGGAAAACCTCTGTTTTAAACTCCAAGGCAAAGGAGGACAAATGATTGCCTTAAATGTTTTCCAAAGTAACGTTCTATCAAATTCTGGTCCTCCAGGTGTCAAGAGGAATGGGGTGTGGTAGGGAGGGTATAGTTCTATGACACAGAATTTAGAAGGGGAAAAAAACAGGCTAAGCAAAGCTCAGGAATGTCCGTGTTTGTGGGACTCCTCAGAGCCCTTACTGTGCTGTGCACAGGGATCCTCTACAAAGGATGGGCCCTCTGGATTTCCCGAGTGTATTTGATACCACGTGCTGACATCTCCCGGAGCAGGGCTTGTTGAGTCCTACCTGGACTCAGGAAGTGCTGATCTAGCAGGTTCATTTGCAGTAATGACGGTGATAAGCGGGTTACTCTGGTGAGATAATTCACCAACACAAAAAGTGGGCGAGTGTGTTAGCAACACTGTAGAACAGGGGCGAAGGGCAACTGGGCAGGAACTCTGCACAGAGCATCCTCAGGATCTGCTTTCTCCGGTAGGGCTGGGAATTAGTCAGGCAGTGTTCCCATGTCACTGATCCCAGGAACAATCTCAGTTGGAGTGCTTGCGGTTAGAAACAGTCTGGCCTTGTGGAAATGGCGGTTTTTCCCTCAGTCAGAATTGGATTGGCATGGCTGTTTGTCCTAAACACACACACATGGTTGGCAGAGAAAGGAATGCCTAAGAGCCACTGAACTAGTCCTATTGAAATGCAGATTCCTGGGTACCTGTTAGCTGCACACCCAGCCTCGGGGCACCCAGGAGTCTGTAGGCCGTCTCCGCAGGTGATTCTTCCACAGTAAAATGGGGAGACTCCCCCCTGGGCTGGAGAGTCAGCACTGGTCACTCTGTAAGTCCAGTCTTCGTCCACCTGCAGGGAACCACAGGTTAACAGTGATGCTGGGGTTCCGTGAGCAGGATGTGGCATATCTGAAGGGCCTTAGGAGTGGCAGAGTACCCTCGGGCCTGTGCCAGAGTGGGAAGGACTGCCTTGAAAGCAGCTGAGGCTGATGGGGAAGGTCCCTGTTAGTGAGTTGCTCTGAGTTATGGGTTGTTCTCCATAACAGAGGGGAGGATATCCCCACGAGGCTCATCTATTCTGGTAGCATATGACCTGGAGTGGGGGTTGGGATGGTCAGCATAAGATGGCCAGGAAGATGAGACTGAGGACCCTTCCAGCACGGGGTAGGGAAATAGCGAGGTGGTTTCATTCGGGCCTTGAGACCCTGGAGGATAAGTGGGGCTCTCACAGGAAAGCAAGGCCAAGCTTGGCCAGAGAGAGAGAGAGAGAGAGAGAGAGAGAGAGAGAGAGAGAGATCCTCCACACTGATCCAAGGATCCTGCTGCAGCCTGGAGCCAGGCTGGGCTGTCCCATCCGTGGCCTTGGGGCATTTAAATGGCCCTGCATTCAGTGTGGTTGGCAGATGCAGAGAGTGAGCTCGCCACAGCCGCGTGTGGACCTGCACCTCTAACCGCACCTGCCGCACTCCCTCTGCATGTGCCCCCCCTCGGCCAGCCTGCTGCCCCCTCTCGCTGGATTGCTCTGAGCAGTGGCCCTGTGTGCTGTGTGACACTAACAATGGGCAAGCTAGCAGATTTGAGGCCTAAGAAAACGAGCCGGGGTTTCAGCCAAAGGGAACCGTGTCTGCGAACCTTACGCACGGGGCATCACGTGCGTTCTCCTTTTCTATTTCATCAGCTCGAGTGGCCAGTGTTGGCAAAGACAGGACTGGGAACGACGAGAAGAAAGCGAAGGTAAGTTACTCACCAGCCGGTCTCCTGACCAGCCGGTCTCCTTCGCCAAGAGGCTCTGCTTCACGCCTGGGTTTGCCCTCATCCATGATGTGTGCAAAGTGCTTGTCACTAGGGTGTGGCTGTCATTTTTGTTTTATAATTTAATTTAATTTTATGTGCATTGGTGTGAGGGTGCCAGATCCCCGGGAACTGGAGTTACAGACAGTTGTGAGCTGCCATGTGGGTGCTGGGAATTGAACCCAGGTCTTCTGGAAGAACAGTCAGTGTTCTTAACGGCTGAGCCATCTCTCCAGTCCACAGCTGTCATTTAAAGGCTTGTTTTTTTTTTTTTTTTTTTTTTTTACAAAGGCAGTGTTTCCATCTTGGTATTTAACAAAGGGAAGGGTGATCCTCAAGTTCTTTAGCCCCTCCCCCACGCTCACCTCTTGTCATTTCCTCATAGTTTAAATGAAGGTGTGTGTGTGTGTGTGTGTGAATTTTCTGGGTGAAGTTTGGGGTTTGTGTTCCTTACCCTTACCACTACAGATCTAGGCTCAGTAAATATTCAGTGTTTCATATCCACAGAGTCCACTAGGGGTCAGAGAGCTATGAGCAAGGGAAGAAGTGATCTCCAGACAGAGGCAGGGAGGATTCTGGGTGAGCCCAGAAGAGCTGGGAGGCAAACAGGAGAGCTAATTATGGGAGAGCTACTATGCAGTGGCTGCCTCAGAGCAGGGGGCAGCAGACAGAGGCAGGAGGAAGAGACAGAGCTGGGTCTGCGGGGAGTAGGCAGGCGGCCGAGGTGGCTGTTGTATGTGGGGCTGCCTTGGGTTCGGGATTAGTACAGCCTCCCTGAGGCCGAGCGTGGAGAAGTGTGGATTGGAAGGAAGGCCTCTCAGTCTTCTGCAGCCACGCCCGGTAGATAAAGCGGCTGCTTGCCACAGACCAGCGTCCCAAGCCCTACCTGTCCCTCACTTCTCATCCATAGTCCCCTCCCTCCATGACTTCTTATCTTAGAACCCTCTAGAGCTGTGCAGTGGTGTCTTCCTGGAAAAATCCCACCACGACCCAGATTGGATCAACCGGGCAGCTAGTGTGAATGCTGCCCGGAGCATCGAGCCTGTAATCAGCACCAGGGCCCCAGTGGGTCTCCAGATGTGAGTGATGGTGCTAGAATCTGGTAGCAAGGGTTGAGGACCACTCCCAGAAGGCCCTGTTCTGTACTCATTAGGACTTCCCGTCATGGGTGCTCAGAGAGAGAGGCAGCTGGGCCTCGGGCAGAAACTTAGCCCTGCCCCATTGCTTGAAGCAGGATCCACAGCTGCTTGTCAGTCAAGATGGTCATTCCCTTCCGGGGGAGGGGCAGGGAGTTCCGGCCTCATGCTTGCACAAGTGTGCACGTACTTATTATCATTTATATGTTCATTTAGTGCACAGTCTTTGCCCTGGATTGGCTCACAGGACATCGTGGAGCCAAATCTGTTACAGATCTAGGCTGGGTAGAGAATGCTGCCTGTGGAGAGGGGTCTTGTCCAGCTAGGGAGCAAGGGGCTCCGGGCCCACTCCAGCTTTTCCTCTGTGGAAGCAGCTGTCCCTTGGCCTGTCCTGCCGCTGGCGGCACAGACTGCGTGCACCCCAGTCCCTTCAGTGAAGGGATGAGGAAATACACTGAACAGCACAGCGCAGTCTCTGGTCAGGACTCCAGACCACCCCACACTTGGCCTCTTAATTCTTTATTCCCAAAGGTCTGGTTTCACAGCCTGCATCATACCAGGCCCACCCTTCCAGTCAGAGTCCCCAGAGGCAAACGTTGAGTGTCAGCCTTCTGCCTTTAGGTACCCTGGTTCAGGGAGTCCTTCTCAGAGAACATCCAGCAACACTTATTTCCTTAGGTGGAGTATGTTCTGGTGTTAACTTTGGCCAGTTCAAGACTCCATAGCATTAAGATTAGTATTATTCGAGTCTTTGTTTAATCAGAAAGTATGTGTGTATGTGCGTGTGTGCATATGCGTGTGTATGTGCGAGTGCAAGCACATACGTGCATGTATATGTGTGTCCTTGTGGCATGTGTGTGTCCTCAGTGACATCTGAACAAAGCTTTTGGTTGACTCTGGCACAATCCTCCTTGAAGGATTCTGTTGGCATGGTGGGAAGAGAAGGTGGGTGTCAGTGAGCCCGAACAGATGCTTCCCCTGAGGTCGGGCAAAACCTGGAAAGCCTCTGACCCATGACACATTGGCATTCTTTCTGGAGAAAACCTTGCTGCCTTTTCTCTGATGGTCTCCATGCACTTAGCAAGTGGAAGCACCTCTGAGCCAGTGTTCTCCAGTGCTAGAGAAAGGATGTGCCAGAACGTCTCTCCATGTCCAGCATCTCTTTAGAAGTTCTATGCTGTGTGATTTTACTCATGTCCATCCCATGTCAGCTGTGTAGCACGCGTAGCTGATAGGGGACCCAGTGCTGAGGGGACAGGACCGCTTTCCTTGCTGGAAGGGCGGTGGAGAGAACTGCTTTGACCTGTGACCCACCTTCTTTGTGTTCTGGGTTTTTGTTGTTGTTGTTCCTTTTCAGTGTGCTTCCCTCCTCCAATGCTGACTTTTATTTCGATTTTATTTATTTTATGTTTAAGACATCCACACCTTCCTGTGCTAAACCCCTGAGCAGTAGGCCCCGCCTTAGCCCCCCACGCCCCAGTCCTGGTAGCTCAGACCCTTTGATCAAACCCTCCAGCCCTGCCGTGTGCCCTGAGCCGGCGGCCACCTCTCCTAAACACGTCTCTTCTGTCACACCCCGAAATGGCAGTCCTGGAACAAAGCAGATGAAACTCAAGGTAAGGAACGGACCTCCGGCGAGGCACAGGCTGCTGTTCCGTGGTGTTCGAGGCCTTTCCTCACCTAAACTCACAGGCAGCACTGGATGGCTGAAGAAGTGACAGGGAGGGGACTGAGGACTAGGACCTGTACTCTCTGCCTCCCTCCCCCCCGAAACAGCAGTCCCCAAGGTAACCAGGGGACCCCAGTTTGAAAACTGAGGCTCCAAGCTAAGCACGGTACCTGATGCCTGTAACCATCCCCAACGCTGAGGAACATTCCTGTAAATCTGAGGCTAGCTTGAGCTATAGAGTGAGTTCTAGGCTAGCCTGGGCTACAGAGTGAGTTTCCATTTTGAAAACAAAAAAACAAACAAAAAAAAAGAAGCCAGGTGTGGTGATGCTTATAATTTCAGCACCCAGAGGCAGGGGTAAGAGGCATGGGGATCAACCAGTAATACTTAGAAAGACTCTTTCTCTTAAAAAAATAAACAAAAACAGCCAGTTGGTGGTGGCACACACCTTTAACTCCAGCACTGGGGAAACAAAGGCAGAAGGATCTCTGTGTGTTGGAGGCCAGCCTGGTCTACAGAGTGAGTTCCAGGGTAGCCAAGGTAGTTACACAGTAAAGCCCTGTCTCGAAAAAGGGAAGTTAATTAATTAGTTAATTAAAAAATAAAAATAAATGGTGAAGAAAGCCTCAGATCCCTCTAGAGTTCCTATGGTAACTGGCCACGCCTCCAGCTGCACCCATATCCACAGCTCCTTCTCTCTTCCCTTCCTCCAGAGTCTGCGGTTTATGTGGTATCTTTGTGAGGTTCTAAGGGTCGTCTACTGACCACCAGACCTGTCACCACTCACAATCAGCTGATTGTGTTTGTTCCACCCCTGGCTCCCCACTTTCAGCCAGTGTTCATGGCCAAGGGTTCTTAGCACACCTAAGGAGTCACCGAGACCCTCGGGCCATGGAGAGGGAAGAAAAAGACGTGGCTTGGCTGTTGAGTGTTCTGCTGAAGGCTGAAGCATAAGTCTCTTCCAGGGCCTCTGGTGAACCCAGCCTCCATCAGCTACATCCATAGTGAAGAGTCTGGGGAGGAATGTCCACAAGGCATGGTCCTCCTGGGCCAGCCCATTGATCTACCTGACCCTGCTCTTGCTCCAAGCACTACTGTTATTTTATAACACAGGCTAGCTCACAATTCATCTAAGAGGAAATAGGAACCTGATACTTGACGTGCCAGTGAACTGTGCGGTTGTGTGCCCCACAAACCCTCGAGACTGTACAAGACCCTTCTAGCATCCCTCTCCACCTTCACCATCTCCCAGTCAAGATGGGAGGGTGGTCTACCTCTCCTGGGGGATAGTCACCTTTCCCAGTGGTAAAAACCTTTCACCCTGATTCGGTTTACAGGGGGCCGACGGTAAAACTGGAACCAAGATTGCCACACCTCGGGGAGCAGCCCCTCCAGGCCAGAAAGGCACATCCAACGCCACCAGGATCCCAGCCAAGACCACGCCCAGCCCAAAGACTCCTCCTGGCTCAGGTGAGAATGCTCCCTGGAGTCTTAATCCAGAAGCTTCCAGAAGGTGTAACAATTAGTAACCAACCCCTGGCACTGACTAACGCCTTGCAGTTTGCTGAGCGCTGGAGACTTTGTTTTCTTTTTCATCCTTTGACAATTGTCTGAGGTAGATGATGAACCCTTGCCTTTTAATCAATGAAGAAACCTTGCTCATTTTAAAAGCATGAGGAAAATGCAATCAGGTGACTGATGAATATTCAAGTGGTAGAGAAGGAGCATGCCCCCTAATCCATGGCTCTGGGGAGGCAGCCCCCCAATGAGGGTCCCCTGCCTCTTTGGAGAAGACTTAGCCTGGGCAGGACATCATGGAGGATCTCCAGCAAATCAGCCTCATGCAGCTGGAATGTTAGGAATCTTCTAGCAAAACTCAAGGTTTTTAACTGAGCAGTGGCATGCTGTGATCATTATTCTGGCCTCCTGTAAATAAAACCCAGTTGGCATGGAGAACCTGGCCAGGCTCCAGTGGGGTTGTTTCGTGTCCAGTAGAGATACCAGGAACCGAAACCTAGAGACCTGCTCCCAGAAGGGACTTGGAGGCCATGTGACTCAGTGTTATCTGCCTGCATTTGCTCCCTCGTGGTGCCCAGGAGACCTGTGGGTCTCTGTGTCTGGCCTGGCTCTTGGTGTCCCTGCTCTCTTGGCCAGGGGCAGTCGCTATTGTCCGCTGCATGCTTCTGCCTGGATTGCAAAGGGTGCTGCCTGACGGTCGGGCTTTTTCTTCGCTAAGTCTGGTGTGTTTCCTGTGCGCTGATTGAAGTAGAGGCATTAACGGAGTGTTTCGTGGGTTTGCATCCTGGTGCTTCTCCCTCAGCACTGTGCTGGCCCCGCTCACACAGTAGCCTGGAGCAAGTGCTCGCCTTGCTCTTCCGACCTCACCTGTCCTTAGGTGGCTCCATGTCGATGGCTCCGTCTTCCTCACTGGTCCCCTGTTCCTGCTTCCGGCTCCCGTGCTAGGTGGACCAGCCAGGCGCTGCCACCTGAAGTGCTCGCAGAGACCCCTGTGAGCCTGGTTATAATGAGGCTGTCTGGATTTTTCTTTTTAAGCTTCCAAGCAAGTGCAGAGAAAACTACCCCCTGCAGGGGCAAAACCTGAGAGAGGTAATTCTGGGTCCACTGCCCTGGGTGGGCAGACTCTCTTGGTGTGTGTTCTGCCCCTGTGCTTGTCTGCAAGGCTGGGAGGGCCTGCTGCTTCTAGCCCAGGCTATCCCAGAGAGGCGTAGACTCGAAACATCATGTATGCTTTTCTTCTCAAGTGTGGTTTGTACTGGGGGCATCTGTGGACTCGCGTCCTGTGTGTTTGCATTTCCTTCAGCAACGAGGGCTGTTTGTGGGATGGGGACCATGTGCCTGCAGACATGTGGGAGTGTTGGAGGTTTGGACTGCCTCTCACCTAAGTTCCAATAGGAAAGTGTCACTGGTAGGCAGAGGGTTTTGCTGGGCTGAGATTTTTGTTTCATTTAAGGAATGGCATTTGGGGACTGGGAGATGGATCAGTGGTTAAGAGCACTGGCTGCTCTTCCAGAGGACCCAGGTTCGATTCCCAGCACCCACATGGCAGCTCACAACTGTCTGTCACTCCAGTTCCAAGGAATCCAGCATCCTCCCATAGGCAAACCAATGTACATGAACTAAAAATAAATAAATCATGGGCTGGAGAGATGGCTCAGTGGATAAGAGCACTGACTGCTCTTCCAGATGACCCAGGTTCAATTCCCAGCACCCATGTGGCAGCTAACAACTGTCTGTAACTCCAAGATCTGACGCACATGCAGGCAAAATACCAATGTACATAAGAATAAATAAATTTAAAAAAATAAATAAATCACTTAAAGAAATGGCATTTCACTCTGAGATGTTACAGACAGATGTGAGCTACCATGTGGGTGCCAGGAATAGAACCCGAGTCCTTTGAAGGAGTAGCCAGTGCTCTTAACTACTGAGCCACCTCTCCACCCCCTACCCCCCAATACCCTTCTCAAAATAAGGTCTTGAGGGTTCTGATCTCCCTCATCTTTCAGATGAGGACATGGGCATGATGAGGACCGTCGGCTCACCCGAGGTTACTCTGCAAGTGTCAGGAAAAGAACACAAGCCACCGCCATCCCGTGTCCCTGGGGACATGGAGGCAGAGCTAAGTCCCGACCAGCGGTGGCTCCACATATCCCAGAACTCGATCAATGGCTTTAGGGCTTCCCAAGACGTGGAACTGGAGACTGAACATGGATGTTTAGGCAGAGATGGGCAGGAAGCGTCTTTGCTGTGATGCTTCGGTTGGGAAGCTTAAGAAAGGCCAGTTTTGCAGGTCTCTATCAGATCTGGATGGGGGCCCAAACATTTGCATATCACAAGTCCACCTCCCGCTAAGAACATTAGAGGTTTTCAAACACAGAACAAAAGCCCAGGGGTGTGGTGGCTGGTGAACTCTAGGTGTGTCCCAGGCATGCTGAGTACTGTCACAGAAGCATGTGGGGGTAAAGGACGCAGGGAGGGGGCTGGACAGAACCTGCTGAGAAGTGCAGACAGGCTTCCCGGCAGTTGATGGTATTAGGCAAGGTGTGTGGGGAAGGGCATTGTACGGGCTGGAACAGCAAGGTAGGGTTCAGCAGTGTGGGGTGTGGCTTGTATGCAAAGCTCTGGGCAGGTGGTTCATACACTGTTCTGCAGCCCTGTAGTTAGGGGAGCCCTGGATGTGCCCCATGGGGGAAGGGTCAGGAGGATCCCAGCTTGAAGGCTGCCGTGGGGTCCTGTCATGGCGTCACCTCAGTTAAGGTAAAGGACGGGCAGAAGTGAGCTTGTGGAGCAGTACCCCATCCCTTCCTTTCCCAAGGTGAGGAGGCCTCAGCTCAGTGAAAGGGGGTGACACACAGCTAGCTAGAACCCACTTCCTGACTTCAGGACACTTCAGGGCTTGGGGAGAGTTGGGCCGTCCGCGGGAGGAGGTGCCATGTTGGAGCAGGGATGACAATGCGGTTGCTGTGCTGGGAAATAGTTGTCACTGCATCTAAGAGACAGGGCAAGAGTTGATGCTTCGCCAGAGATGGTCCTCTCCCAGATCCCCCTCTCCAGGGGTTTTAGGGACTTTGCAGACCCCCATCCACCTGGCCTCAGTCCCGTCCTCTCTCCCCACCCTCCAGGAGAACCACCAAAATCTGGAGAACGCAGCGGCTACAGCAGCCCCGGCTCCCCTGGGACCCCTGGCAGTCGCTCCCGCACCCCATCCCTACCAACGCCGCCGACCCGGGAGCCCAAGAAGGTGGCAGTGGTCCGCACGCCCCCCAAGTCGCCATCTGCCAGTAAGAGCCGCCTGCAGACCGCTCCTGTGCCTATGCCAGACCTGAAGAACGTCAGGTCCAAGATTGGCTCCACTGAGAACCTGAAGCATCAGCCAGGAGGCGGGAAGGTAAGGGGCATGGACAGCCATACGGGTCGGGTCGGTCTGTTGGGGTGCAGCCTGCAAAGGCGTCCAGGCGCGTCTCTCTCGCCAGACTTGCCTCTGTCCCCCAGAGCACTGGCCCCTCCCTTCCTCCTTTTCGCCTTGCTAATTGGACAGTGGATTTCACTGGTACTGCCCAGGTTGGGCTTGGCTTTCCCCCTTGGTTCTGGGGAAATTCAAGGTCTTAATAGGAGCAGCTGGTTCTATGGCTGTCGCGAACTTTCTAGGCCCTGAGGCTCCCCCTTCCTTGCTTTCTGAGCGTTGTCCAGGCTGACTGACATGTCCTCAGGATTCTAGAATCTGTAACTGAGAGATTATGTGGATGTCAGCAGGCCTGACTCCCCGAGTTTCTCCCGAGTCCTCCTGTGCACCCTGATAACTCACTTTGAGTATTTCAACAGTCATTGCTTGAAAGTCGTATCTCCAAACACAGTCACATTGTGAAGCTGGGGTGTCAACATGTAAATGAGGGAACACACAGCATGTCCCCTCCCCACGCAGGGCTGGAGTAAGGGGAGGCCAGTGAGGGGCCTAGATGGAGCCGTGACCCCTTGCCGAGTTCACGGTCCTTGTCTTCTGGACTGCGTACTTCTGGGGCACCTGAGGTGCTGAGAGAGCTCCACAGACTTTCGGGCCAATGCTTACCCCAACTCCGCATAGTGGACACTCCCCACGGCTGAATTTGCTTCGGGCTGGTCACTGGAGGGAAGGTGGCTATGGCCTGGGTGGGCACCTTCCCTGAAGCCCCATGTGTTGTTATGGGGGAGTCTTGGGTCCCTCCTATTGGCTCTACATAGTGGGGTTTGTGCAGCATCTGGTTCAGAGTCCACAACTCACATCTTCTTCAAGCCTGAGGCCAACTTTAGGTTCAGGGCTACGTCTCACTAACAACACTGGCTTGGACCATCGGCTTGGTCTCAGCTTGTGAGCCCTCAGTCACCTGTGCTGTCCTACCTCCAGAGATGCTTACCTGCCTCCTTCGGAAGCGGCCCTAGGGTCAGGCATTGCATTCGAGAGGATCGCGAGTTTGAGGCCAACTTGAGCCATGTGATGAAAAAAAATAGAAAGGTGCATGGTGGAACAAAACCTTAATCCCAGTACTCAGGAGTGCCTGAGACCTGCTTCGGCGGGGTTTTGGGTCCCAAAGAGGATGTGTGGAGTTGTCGGGAGAAGAGGAAGATACAGACTTGATCTGAGGGTGAATCAGGATGGCTGCCAGCAGCATTTAATTGAAAAAAAGACTCCACCTTTTATACTCTATAGTTGCACATAGGATTAAATGGGAGATAAGGGGCATGTGAGCTGGGGTGTGGCCTGAGATCAGGAACTGAGGAATCTAACATTGACCTTGGCCATAGGCACCAGTCATACATTAATGGAAGGGCCACAAGTTCCTCTTGCTAGAGATAAGAATGACTGCTTTATCAAGCAGGAACTTTCCTCAATGAAATGGAGACCCTTATTTCCCAAATACCTTGGGAAAAGGACTCTGTGGAGCAGATGCTAACTACAATTTCTTAGTCTTACTGTGTGGGCCTGTTCTCCTCAAATGCTCCTAAAAGGGAAGGTCTTGATGTCTTACTCTTCCCATTATACCGGACCATTCTGATTTCTCTGTATTTATTAACTGAACTCTTGCACTCAATGGCCTCAGGCTTGGGGTCTGAATTGTAGGCATTTCATCCTTGGGGCCAGTAATTAGTAAATTAGTAAAATTAGTAAATTTCTAACTTTCCTGTTCTTGGTGTAATTAGGAGGGTACATTGGAATTCCTGGTTCCGTGGTGGTGGAAAATTTTTTCCCAAAGAATTATTTTGTTTAGAGAAGCTACCATTGTACACATTTTCATCCTTTACCAAAGCCCACTCAGAATTTCCTGAAGGGAAAGGCATTAGTAGTAAGAATCATTGAAAAGAAAAGAAAAATGGTGCTGGAGAAGTGTGGTCTGCAATGTCAAAATGCTAGAACTTTGTCAAGCAGCAATGGTCGCCATGCGGTCTACGCCACAGGAAACAGAGTCAGGTAGATCCATCAAATGTGAGTTCCAGGCCAGCCTGGTCTATACAGTAATCTCCAGGCTAGCCAGGGGAATGTGTGAGACCCTGCCTCAAAGAAGGATAGGAGGAGAAGGAGGAGAAAATCCACAAAGCCACATGCTCACCTTGGAGGAAAATGAGCGAGGAGGTCACAATGACTTGCTGTAGCAACAGGGACATGGTGGCCATCAGCACCTTCCTGGTCCCAGCCCCAGGCCCTGGAACTCCTGGCAGCCACCATCTGCCCACCCCCCACCCCCACTGACAGGATGAAACTGTGGATGTGGAGCTGCACCCTCCCCGGGAAGTGGACCAGCGGGCAGAAGAGGATGTGCGTTCAGAACGCCTCGGCCAGCAGCCTTCCAGTACCACTCCCACCCCTGACCCAGGCTGAGCAAAGAGCCCTCTTCTGGAGGAAAAGATGACATCCACTTCTTTATCGCTCACTTACCCCAGGGCTGGGGATGCTGCAGGGAGGTGAAAAAGTGTCTCTCCGCAGCAGTGGCTCTGGGCCCGTTAAAGATCCCGAGTGTCCCCATTGTGACTTACATGTGCTTTATAGACGGAAGGTTCACAGGGCCCCATGGCTTGGTCAGGGCCTCGGCAGAGTAACTCCGAAGCCACGTGGAGGCTCTGGCCAGCACCACAGCTCCCATCTGTCATTTGGCTTCACGGTCTCCAGACTTCCGGGCCTCATCCACTTCTCAGAAATGACTGTCAGGATCTGCAAGATGGTTCAGAGGGTGAAAGTACGAAAGTATGTGCCATCGAGCCTGAGGATGGAGTTTGGTCTCCAGAACCCACGTGGGTGAAGAGAGAACTGACTCCTGGAGGTTGTCCTCTGACACATATGCACACACACACATACAGGCACACACACACACACACACACACACACACACACACACACACACACACGCACAGTAGATTAAAAATGTCAAAACAGCCGGCCGGTGGTGGCGCACGCCTTTAATCCCAGCACTTGGAAGGCAGAGCCAGGAGGATCTCTGTGAGTTCGAGGCCAGCCTGGGCTACAGAATGAGATCCAGGGAAGGCACCAAAACTACACAGAGAAACCCTGTCTCGAAAAACTATAACAACAAAACCCCTGGGGCTGGAGAGATGGCTGAGGGGTTAAGAGCTCTTGCTCTTGCAAAGAACCAGAGCTCCAGTCTCAAGCACCCACTGTGGGCAACTCAAAACTGCCTCTGACCCCAGTTCCGCGGCGTCTGACACTTTTCTTCTAACTTCTGTGAGGATCCACATGCAGGCATATACACAGACACATTTATAAAAATAAAAATAAACCTTAAGTGCAATAATTCTAAAAACTACACAGGGGTCAGTGAGATGGCACAACAGTTAAGGGTACTTGCCGTGGCCATCTGAGCTTGATCTTCAGGACCGACGTGGTGGAAGGAGAGAACTGATGACTCCCATAGCGTTTCCTCTGATGACCATAAGCACACTGTGTCACATTCCTGTCCCTACACCCACACAAATAAATAAATGTAATTTACGTTTTTGTTTGTTTGTTTTTTGAGACAGGGTTTCTCTGTGTAGTTTTGGTGCCTGTCCTGGATCTCACTCTGTAGACCAGGCTGGTCTCAAACTCACAGAGATCCTCCTGGCTCTGCCTTCCAAGTGCTGGGATTAAAGGCGTGCGCCACCACCGCCCGGCTATAATTTACATATTTTTTAAAAGACACTAAGGAAGGGGTTGGGGATTTAGCTCAGTGGTAGAGCACTTAAGGCCCTGGGTTCGGTAAAAAAAAAAAAAAAAAAGACACTAAAGAATACAGACCACCTTGGAGTGACATTTACCTTGAAGAAAGGGACTGGGAGGGGACTCAGCAGACACTGAACATCCAGAGAGCCATTCAAAGTCTCTGTCAGACTGAACAAGATAGTGGCATGCTAGTAATCCTAGCACCTGAGAGGCTGAGGCAGGAGGATGCCTAGCCTGGGCTCCACATCAAGATCGTTGATTAGAAAAAAGAGTGAAACATCTCTTCCTCTACTTTGAGCTTTTTCCTGGCTTCCATGATTTGCTGCAGCGAACACGTTTCGCCATAAGACTCCACAGAGAGGTGGCATTAAAAGGGGGTGCAGCCGGTCAGAGATCCTCACTGGAGAACACGGAGGTGGAGTGTGAAACTGGAGACAAGAGCCAGCCACTCGGAAGTTCTTTTAAATGCTTAATGCTGTAGTCTACCCCAGCCTCTCTGTAACCCCTGGGACAGAGCCCACTACCCCAGCCTCTGTAACCCCCAGGGATGGACTAGGGTGTTTCCAAGGTACAGCCCAGGCTGAGGACCAAGACCACCATGTTCTTACCTGCTGGCTTCTAGTCCATCCCAACCCCTGGGGATGCCTGTGCACAAGGATCTTCCCCATTTGCTGATTCCATTCCTGCCTCCTCAGCTCCTGGTACATCCCCATCCAGAGTTGACCCAGCCCTGTACAGTGTCTGAGGGGAGAGAGTGGGAAGTTCACAGTAAGATGAAGGACCAGCGTTTAAAACAGATTTGAAAAAGTACCTATTGGAGCCAAGCATGATAGAACATGCCTAGAATCCCAGCTCTTGAGACAATAAGACAAGAAGATTTGCTGTGAGTTCAAGGACAGCCTGCTCTGTGTGTAGCAAATGCCAGGTCTGGCAGGGCTACATATCAAAATCCTATCTAAAAAAAAAAAAAAATTGAAAAAGGAATGGAAAGGATAGTGACCTCTTGTGAGATCTCATGTCCCTGCCTCTAGAACAGTGGTTCTCAACCTTCCTAATGCTGTGACCCTTTAATACAGTTCCTTATTTCCTTATGTTGTGGTGACCCCCAACCATAAAATTATTTCCATTGCTACTTCATAACTGTAATTTTGCTAGTCATTAATTGTAATTTTATATATATATATGTTTTCTAATGGTCTTAG